TCATGTTCCATCTGTCTATCTTTTGGCCGGATGAGGGTAGTCGTGGTTCATCTGATGTATTTCTTGGTCTAGATGTCAGGCAGGCATCTTTCTGAATACCAAACTTAGAGCAGTTCGTTATGGGTTTTTGTGTTCCTATTTTAAAAGCCTTTACACATCATCCTTGTTTCTTGGCATTTAGTGAAATTGAAATAAATAAAAAATTGCTTGTGATTTGTTTTGGTTTGTCAGGTTCCACTTCAATCCCTGAACTTTTTGATAGTCAGTTAAAAGCGTATGTACAATGTTAGTCCTATGACAGGGGAGTTTCTTTTTTCTCTTCCACTTAGAGCTCACGTTGATTGCTCTTGTCCCCTTACTGTAAAAAAAAGGATTATTTTGATCAAAACATTCGAGGACTGAAGATTTGTTTCATTTTGCTCTGCTTTTAATGTCCATGTTGTCTCGATGAATAAAAAGGAAAAACTTGTCAATGTTGTTGTGTTTTATTTAACGCCGTTAGGACTGTTCACATGTTGTCCTAGCCAAAGCAGGTTAGCGCAGCGAATGGGAAAATGGGGTATAATTAGGGCTGCAACTAACGATTATTTTGGTAGTCGACTAATCGGTCGATTATTTTTTCGATTAGTCGACTAATCTAACGATTATTTTAAGTTTGGAATTAATTACAGCGTCCATAAAGCTCTAGTGTGCTCTACTACGCTGTAAGCTTGGCGCTGTTTAGCAGCTCGTTGGTGGACACGCAGCCTCAACATAACTGAAATAGCGTTTGCTTAGCAAGCATTAACCATGAGACGTTCTGTTTTCCAACATGTAAGCTAACGTAAACATGACTATGGCTAACTTGCTCAAACTTACCCATGATCCAAAGTAGCAGTCCTCACGGTTCCAGGGTGCTTGCGTTTTAAATGCTCGTGCATCACTGTAGTGCTGCCGTGGAATGCCAATTCCCCTTTACAAATTCTGCATTTCACTGACTTCTTTGGCTTGTCGTCTGTGAAATACTCCCACACTTTCGAAACTCTCGGTCTCGCTTTTTTGAGCTCTTCATCACCCTCATTCTCTCTCCTTTCCGCCATCGTTTCTTATTCTTTCTTCTTTGTTGTTAGTACAGAATGCAGTCATGGCAGACAATGGAGAGTATACTGCCCCCAGCACTTCCTGTAGTGCATTGCAGTTACAAATGAACATTTGCGCAGTTTTGAATTAACGTTACCGGCTCTCTGATTGTTTTTATACGACGCGCCGACACTAAAATTCCGCGTCGACGAATTTTTATGATCGACGTCGTCGATTATGTCGACTAATCGTTACAGCCCTAGGTATAATAGTCTTTTTATTTAAGGAAAGATCCTAAACTATCCTTAAAATGTTTTGCAGCCATGGCAAGCTGTTCCAATTTTCGAAACTCGAAGGAAAGGCGCTTCGATGGTTCTTTTCTTATCTCCTTTAGCATCGGGAACACTGGAGCATCTTTTACAAAAGGAAAGGAGATAATTACACACACTTCTTTGTGGCGGCAACATTTAAAATGTTAAAATGAATTACTTGGCTAATTGTATTTATTTATTCTAGCTGTGGATGTCCACCCTAACAGTTAATCTCAATGTGCCTCTTTCAGCCAGCCTCTTATTCATCTCCTTGTAATGCAGTGAGAAAACAGTGCAGAAGTGTCCGGTTACTGCCAACGTAGCAAGTGAGACATGGATGCAAATGGTGAATTGTATCCTGGCTTAAAGCCACTTGCTTTGATTACACTTTCATTAATCAGCAATTGCACAATCCAATTGCTCATTAATGCGAGACCCCAACTTGAAGGTGCTGACATGCTATAAAAAGTATTATTGAACGTTTTCATACTGGAGTTCTCTTTATCCCACAAAACAAGTGCCAACATATCAGGGCTGATGTTTTTCCTTAGCACTGACCTTTCCAAAGCAGGGGCTTGTGGAGAAAGCAGCAGGATCTTTTCAGCCCTTCATTTGAGTGTAATTAATAGCTACTGCAGGGTTCTGCTAACACACTGACTATCTGAAATGAAGCAGAGTAAAACCAGTTCGTAAGAAGAACTACTACTTTTGACAAGACTATTTTAAATCAAGCAATATCCCTTATAAAACAACTGTATAGCCTGCAGGAGTTTACACCTAGTAGATGGTAATATTGTGTATCAATAGATTTGTGACCAGTTACAGTAATGAGTTATGAATGACCATTTTCCATTACAAACTCATACCCTTCTTGATTTTAGAGTTTCCTCCCTTACTGAAAAGGCTTGAAATTCAAATCTCTTCCTGTCTTTTGGCAACATTTTAGTTTTGCCCCGTTATTCTCATCGTCTCAATGGAGTTCCATCAGTGTAAATCATTAGGTATGGTCGTTTGTGAACCCCACAAGCACATTTTCCATCAATTACACATAACCATGCTGGATTGTGCAGGTGGACTGGCTGTGGGTGGCCTCCCTGTCTCTCTAGCAACGGCTCACCCTTCTGCCAAGTCATCGCCAGAGCCTCCAGCCCCTAGATTCACTGAAATGAAAAGACTTGGGGCCCCTTCTCATCTCTTTCTGTCCCAGAACGACAAAGTAGGAGGTGTGCTTCAGATGCTGTTAACTTCTGGGACTGATGCTGAACATTGGAATGACATTGGGCTCATTTGGGGAAATGGAGTCCTGTGTCAATGCCAAATGTAGGTGGATGTATGAGGCAGGTTGGACTGATTCACTTCCCACATATTTCTGCAATATCTTTTGTAAGAATTCTGGTAAATCACGTTGAATCGTAGGAGTAGTTTTACTGGACAGCAGGTGGCAGTATGCACTTGTGTTTTCAGGAAAGACCAAGGCACAGAGTGCAGTGGCCGCTCAGCAGTGCAGATACTCTATGTTTTGGATACATATTGTGCCTATTATTGCATTCACACCAGAGCAGTGAGTTAGTTTCACTTCAAACAGTGCCACACTCAGGCAACATCAACATCCAATTCTCTGCAACAAACAACTCGTACATGTCATTCGGAAAGCAGAATTTCCCCGGGGTAAGAGGGACAGAACAGAGGGAAGAAACAACAGGAAGACAGTGAGCTGAAATGGCAGGGGGAATGAAACAGTGATCGAGCAGGAAACAAGGGGGAAGATGGAGGTAGTGAGCCTGATGTGATGCTAAACAACCAGGGTGAAGAAAGGATGAATGGAGATAGATCGTCTTCTCCTTTCTCTACTTTGACTTTTTTCTCATAGACAAGCAGTCAATCTCCAGTGAAGGTCGAGAGGGGAGGCAGCGTGTAGATTATGCAGCAGAGGAAGCAATTCATCAGTGCTGTCGACGTGCTGTCTGATTAAAAATCTAAACTCCAACACACACTCGCAGCTTATGTCAGCTGTCAGTCAGGAATACATCATTTCCCCTAAAGCCTTCTGTCATTTGTGCTGAGCGAGAAGCTAGTGCCGTACTCTGTGCACAGCTGAAGCGCTTGTATTCTTTCAGATTCTTTTCTCCAAATATGAATACAAGTGATTGAGTGATACTAGGTATCCTCACAGGCAGACTGTCGGCTTTGAAGACATAGTGAAACTGCAGCATTGCTTTGACATATGCCTCAAGGTTTTTATAAATCTTCCAACTTATTTCAATCTTTTAGGCCCAGCAAGCACTGATCAGGCTATTTGGCTAAAGCAACCGTGCATCTTCCCGAGGGGCACAACAAATACCCAGGGCCCTTCCTCTCATCCATAACACACGGCCGACAATGACGGCAGGAGCGAGGCGAAGAAGAACGGGAGGAAAAAGGTCCATTTTAAGTTTGAACTAGAACAAAGGGGAGTTTCCAGTTGACCATATACTCGAATGACGAGCCTAATTAATCAGATACATAATTCATGAGACGGAAAAGTGTGCGGTGAAAGAGAACGGGTGGGAGAGGCAGAAGGAAAGACTGCGCCATCAGCAGATTCCTGGAGAGGAGAGGAGGGGAGGGGATGGAGGGGAACACTGGAGTGTGTGTTTGTGTTCTTTAAATATGTCGTGTAAGTGCTTGATTAACACAAATGCCATTATGCCAAGAGTTTGACTGATGAAATGAAAATGAAATGTCAAGAACTTTACTTTGACCTAGTAGGACAATAGACGAGTGAAAACAGAAAGCAAGGGGCTGACGTGTGTGAGCTGCAGTGCCAGCTCTTCAAAATTATAACACACAACTTGTCACCAGTAATAGAAGCTATATTAAGTGTTGGCTGTCTGAAAATGTGCTCAAAGTTGACCTATCATGCAAAATGCACTTTTGTACGTCTTTTATACATGAATATGTGTCCCCGGTGTTCTAGGGAACTCACCAAGTGTCAGAAAACACAACCCTCTCTATTTTCCTCCATACCCAAATCTCTTAAAAAGGGGCTGCAACGGATCTGATACAGACTAATCCAGATTTGAACACTTCTATGACGTCACAGAAGTGGCGCTGCGGCTATTGGGCCAACTCCTCCAATCAAGAGGAGACAGCCACGAACATTGCCGTTCGAAAGCGCTGGAGACGCTGTAGTACATATGCCAGGCCTGTAGATGGTGCTGTTCTCACAGAATCAGCCCATGCAAAGACAGTGTTAAATTGAGCGAAATGAGGAATGGCTAAAATGCATGATCTGTTTGGTATTTTGAAAAATAAAAAGTATAAATATGTCTTATATAGGTATGGTCCTACACTATATTATTCAAATATAGCATGATAGGTCCACTTTAAATTAAATCCACTTATTGGT